AGTACTCTTGTAGTAACAGAGAAAGGAAAGAAATCTCTCCTGACGGCTCCCCTCCCAAAGAGCCCCACACCAGATTTCTCCTAAGTCCCACTGTCAGTGTTGGCTCAGATCTACATGTGCTAGCCACAGAGCCTGGGAGAGTGGGTATGGGCACTTTCAGGCTTGTTCACAGGAAGCCAGCTCAGCTAGTCGGGAGAAAGGCATTAGGCAGGTAACCGACGATGTCTGTCACAGTGATGAATTCCATTTTCTCTCCCTACACAGTTGATAAAGGCTCACTTAGCAGCCTTATAGAGCTTGAATTAGGTAGGCTTAATCATAACTGTAATAAATTAGTATTTTCTAGAAGCCAGTTAGTTTCTCAGTGGACTTTTCCCTTCTGCTCTGTGATTGAGAGCTGATCCCACTGCTTCGTAACAAATAAAAGATTTGAGTGTTTTCCTCTTTAACTATGTGAATGAAGCCTCTGTGGCTGCCATAAAGACATGTATCCATCCTATCAGACGTCTGCAGGATTACCTTTCCAGTATCATTACATATTTGATATCTGCATATGCGCTCTTAGATAGGTACCTGCTGCCTTCTAGGAGCCAGCAAATTCTATAGGTGTTATGAGCCATGTTTGTTTTAGAGTCTGGGAGCTCAGAAAACTCCCTGACATTTCATCTGCATTGGACCAGGACCACCAATGCTTGCTCCCCTGAGAGGCAGAGGCGGGCTGAGTGGAACAGAACCTGTGACAATAAAGCTAAGAAAGGAAGAAAGGGGCCAAGCTTGGGCAACTGGGATTGCAGGTGGTGCAATGTATATACTTGTACGTTACATCGAGAATATCTGCGAAGATCGACTGCCTATGCTGGAATCCTCTTATTCTGTGGATCTGTAATTGTAATTGTCTAATCTGTAATTGCCCAACTGTGGTATTTTTCACTCGATAAAAATCACATGCCATAAATTTAAGCCGAGGTGTCACGGTGGGCACCTTGGTGAATAAAAAGCGGGGGGGGAGGGCGGGGTGGAGAGACCTGAAGAAGGAAGCTCTAAATTTCACCTTCTGTCTGTAGCAGTTCATTCAGTCCTCAGACATAGGCTGAGTGACTACCTGGAAAACAGATAAAGCTACTCACAGCGCTGAGAGAGAGTCAGCATTCCGGCCCCTCCGCTCCCCATAGTAGAAAAGCACAGAGGGGAGAGCAGGATCCTCCAAGCAAGCTAGTTGGGCTGGTTTTCCTTACAATTGTAAAGTACCTAGTTTCCGAGTTTGAGTTGGTGTAATAAAGATTATATTATGTTACAGTAATTGTGTTTGAGCTATATTACAGTGAGTGCCAGGAGGAGGCCTTACCTGCCTTTCTGTATGATATTTCAGAAATAGATTTCAAAGTAATTTGTTACCTTGGGGAAATTCGTATTTCCAAAATACCTGCAATGATTGACGCAAGTCAGTGCATCTGTAATTTACTAGACGCTGAGTTTCCAAAAGTCCTATTTTAAATGTTAGAAGTATTGTTGAAAAATTGGTACTTCTAACAAGAGAAGAGGGTAATAATGCATTAGATACTTGCCAGAAAGAAAGCAAAAATGGACTTCAAGCTTCAACTCTATTCTGATCCCCCCTACCCTGCCCCACCGCCACTAACGGAATCTAGCCCCACTCTTGGCTTCAGTATGCACACAAGATCATTCTGAGCCCAATTTGTGTCATCAAGGGCAGTCTGCATCTCTCCATTTGTTTCTGAGGATGCCATCGGTACCCTCAGGGGGCCTGGTGTGGACTGCCACCTTTTGCTCCAAATCGCAGTCCTGGCTTACCTCCCGGTCTTCTGAGGGCCAGCTATGCTTCTCCTCCCAATGGGTGCAGCCTGACACGCCGCCAGCACTCAGGACTCTGTCCAGGGAGGGCTGCTCTCCTGGCTTCAACAGAGGGAAATCACTGCGAGAACTGGAAGCAACGGAGAGGTGGCTGTCAGTCCAATTCTGAAGCTCCTCGGCCATCTCTGCCCCCAGGGGAGTCTGTCACCTGCTGGTCCAGAGCCAGTCCCTACTTTGTGGGATTCATTTCTCCCTGCAGAATCTCTTTTCCCCCACTTCTCCATCTTCGCTACAGCCAGAAGCTTCTGAACATAGCCTGCCTATGATATTTTCTTAATCAAAAAGTCTCAGAAAAAGCATTTCCCTAACCCAAGAGCGTTCACCTTTCCTAACCCTGGTCATTCACATTGAGCCACATAAAAGGCAGGCAGAAGGGCGCCTGGGTGGCTCAGTGGGTTAAGCTGCTGCCTTCGGCTCAGGTCATGATCTCAGGGTCCTGGGATCAAGTCCCACATCGGGCTCTCTGCTCGGCAGGGAGCCTGCTTCCCTCCCTCTCTCTCTGCCTTCCTCTCTGTCTACTTGTGATCTCTCTCTGTCAAATAAATAAAATCTTTAAAAAAAAAAAAAAAGGCAGGCAGAAGACTGAAGTTGTTCATTTTAAGTGGGCTCACCATTCAAGGTGTCCTGGGTCAGGCATTCAAGGCTTCAGAGTCCCTGTGCTTCCTTCCCTGTTGGGGTTGGCCAGACGGGCGGTCAGCCTGGGTTGTGTACTCCCCTGTACCATGAACAGTTCCTGGGTAGGACTTCCGTATCGGTAGCCTCTTCCATGTGATATGCGGGCTTATATTAACCTGGGTCACAAGAATAGTTTGAGTAGAATCTGTCAAAAGGATTGGGCCCACCAACAACATAGGGCCTGTAGAATGGCTATTTCCAGCCTTTCTGGGAGGAGGATAGAAGTGTCTGTGGGTTCCCATGCCCAGGGCTGTGCTGGATTATGGGATGAGCACAACGCATCCTCCCTGGGCATCAGCTTCCCAGCAAGTTTGGAAATATTAAAACCAATCAGCATATTATGGAAGGGAATATAAAAATTTACAATAATTTTCAAGTAAAATGTTGTAAGAGGAGAAACTTCACTACAGAGTGCTTTCCCAGATGTCTCCAAGGTTCAGGTGACTTTCTTCCAGTTTAAGGCAACTTTGATGGAAGTTTGAGAAACACTATACTTAAGAAGGTACGATCATACAAAAATTTATGGCATTTTAAATGGAGTTGTTATGGCACTTGTGAACTCCTGATTTGCTGGTATTTCTTATTTAATGCAAAGTATATGCCATAAAACTTTTGTTTCGAGTTGAGATATTTGTAAATTTAATACTTTTAAATGCAATAGGCACTTTTTTTTTTTTTAAGATTTTATTTATTTATTTGAGAGAAGAGGAAGCAGGCTCCCTGCCGAACAGGGTCCTGGGCCTGGGATCATGACCTGAGCCGAAGGCAGAGACTTTAACCCACTGAGCCACCCAGGCGCCCCCAACAGGCACCTTTTTAAGGAAACCTAAAATTAGTTTATAAATGATCACCCCCTGATTGTTAGTTTTAGAAGTTTGAGTTTAATAAAATTGTTTTTTTAAGTTTTATTTATTTCACCTAACTATAATATAAACATCCATTTATCTTGAAAATAGCTATTAGTTTGGCTTTCAAAAAATGTCACTTATATCAAGGCCATTAGATTTATCTGACTCAGACCAATGAAAATTTAAGACTATTTTTGTTACTGGAGTTGAGTAGTCTAAGAAGTCTTTTTTAGATTTCTGGCCATATTAAATATTTAGGTTATTTCCAATACTTGTATTGTCTTAATGAAGCACGTAGTACAAAACAGTTCAGTCACGAAGCTCCTCAGGGCAGATGATTAAATAACCATGAGATTAACCAGGCTAACTTCAAAGTTGATTTGGAATGTTGTACTACTTTTTGCTTTAAGCAATTATGTTAGTCAAATATAAATGTTCAGAGTACAATTTCATTAACATGCTTTATATGTCCAGCTACTTCCAAATGCTTTCTTAGTCCTCATACAGTGTCATTATTCAATAAATGTTTAATAGAAAGGCTCATTAAAATTTTATTTATTATACTTAATGTAAAAGCATAGAAATGAAGATAAATTAGGTTGACGTGGAATGGATAAAATGTAATTGAAATAATTTGGAGTACAATTTAAATAAACTTCTTCGTTAATTTGGAAGTATTAAAAGAGTGTGACCACAGCTTAAGATGTGTTCAAATATATCATTATGGAGAAAATAGGAATATTGTCTTACTGGTTTTTAGGTTCTTTGAAAAAGGCTATTAGCTCGACTCTAAAAATAGAAAAGATAAAATTAACTTAGCTTCCTTATTTATTAAATTAGTAAATGTCTGGGTTAAGCAACTACTTATGCTCTGTTCTCCATCTTACGTAAATCTTGTATGATTATCACTGGCTAGAATAATGTATAGAAATCCTTACAGAACACTTTTATTTTTTCAATGACTTTTTTTTTTTTTGCTAGATTACAATCTCTATTGCATGGGGAAAATATAACAAAATGTCATTGACTTAACTGCTGTAGTGTTGAAATAAATTTTAAATTTTTAAATAAACACTATTAATCTAAAAATTCAATCAGTGAGTTAAGGCAATATGGAGAAACTGTATGTTTTTCCAGAAATATGATTAAATCAAATCTTGCAAACTAGTAAATTAACTTTGATTTGACTTAAATATTGCTCATACTAAAAGTGTTGAGTAAAATCAGAGTTGTGACTGTTAGTTTCTCTATAATTCAGGGCACAGCACAGGGATAGGTTCCGACTTTTTTTTTTTTTTTTCAAGATTTATTTATTTATTTAGAGAAAGAGAGGGTGAGCAGGGGAGGGGCAGAAGGAGAAGAAGAAAGAATCCTCACGATCCTAAAATCATGACCTGAGCTGGAAATCAAGAGTCTGACACTTGACTGAGCCACCCAGGCTCCCCAGGGACAGGCTCTGACTTAAAAAAAAAAAAAAAAAAAAAAAAGGTTGGCTTGTACTGGTTTTGCTGGAGGAGTGATATTTGTTAACTACGAGCAGAATTGCAGTTAAGTGGCTGAAATGAGATTTTATTGAATTTTTGTATGTGTTTATTTCATTATTAGGCTATCAGCTGCAAAGGCCAACACAGTATATCGTACACTCTGTCAAGGAATCAGACTGTGGTGGTGGAGTACACGCATGATAAAGATACGGATATGTTTCAGGTAACATCTTTATTTTTCTTTCAGATGCGGTGTCATTAACATGACGTCAGTTTCAGGGGTATCATGTAACGGTTCCATACTTGTGCCTATGGCAAAGTAATCACCACAGAAGGCCAGTTAACAGTTGCCACCACATGGAGTTAGACAGCTTTTCTCCGGGAATGAGAACTTTTAAGAGCCATGCTCCTAGCTCCTTTGACCTACACGGTGCACTAGTAAATACTACTTTACCATAGGTGCCCTGCTGTCCGTGATGTCCCCATGACACACTTCTCTTTTCCTCATGGAAATTCTTGCACACTCTCCTTCAGTTCTGCATTTCAATATGTCATCAGAACTAGCACAGTAGTGTTTGGTGATGTACAAGGAGAAAGCAGAGAGGATAATATAAAATCTAATTCCTATGTGGCTTTTGGAAGACTAAGGGGAAAAAAAACTTGATTCTAAAACTGCAGACAGAAATGATAAAAGCTACATTCTTAGGTCTCACTGCAGTAAAAATACCCATTAATAACAATCATAAAAATTTTAAAAACCAACCACTTTGAAAAGCCAACATGTTGAAAAACCTCCTAAATAACACTTGAATCAGAAATGCAGACATCAGTACTGCAATTATTAGGTCTTTTAAAAAATTACTGTGGGAACATTATGTAGCAAAACTCATGAGATGTGACTGACCACATACTCAGAAGAAAATGTAAAAAAAATCTGAAGTGCTTCCATTATAGAAGGAAGGAGGGAACAAGGAACTAAACATTGGTCTCCAAGAGTTCTCTAAAAAATGATAGTAAAAAAATACAGAACAGGCTCATGACTAGCTTTAATGGTATATAATAAAAAGTCCAAAAATACATCAAAAGAAAACAGAAGGAAATAATAATAGAAAAAAATTCATCAGTTTAAGAAGAGAATTAATAATATATCTAAGATTTGGTATGTTAAAACTACTTAAAAAATTAAGGCTAATGAGGAAAAAAGCAAACTCAAATGGGGAACCATGAGGCTTTGCATTTCTATATGGAATGTTAAATTATTAAATGAATGATATTGAAACAGGTGTCAGAACAGTATTCCAGATAATATCAAAAAGGGGAAATAAGGAACCCTGAAAAATAAGAAAATATCCTCAATCTGGCTTATAAAAAGAGAAATGTGAATTCAAATCACACAGAGATTTTAATTTCCACTTATTAGATAGGGAAAAATCTACACAATTTTGTCAGAAATGTGAGGAAACCCTCTCCTAGTCCTTTAAACTGGTATGACCTCAGTGGGGCGGTGATGTGGAAATGCTTGTGAAAAATGTAAAATGCTTACACTCTTTGACTCAGCCCTTCTTTCTAAAATTCTTCTCTTTCTAGAGATTGACCCCAGAGATACCCCTATATACATGCAGAATGACATTTTTACCAAGTCATTGCTCAAAGCAAGGTTTAATAGCAAAAGATTACTAATTGAATTTAAATAAAAATTAAAATACTAGCGTAAGACCATAAGCAACATATGTGTCGTTCTGTAGGGGCCCCGCTCGGTAATTGCAGGTACAGCCATATCGTGGAAGGAGGCCTCCCAAGTCTATAAAACAGAATAAGAAAAAGCTTTATGTATGGACATGGGAAGAGCTCCATTTAATGAGTTTTTATTTTTTTATTTTATTTTCTTTATTTAATGAGTTAAATATTAATGTGATTATATTGAGCCATTGATAATATATTCAATTAAGATTACTTAATCTTCAGTGTTAATAAATTTAAGTTATTAAATATATTAAATATTAAATAGTATATTAATAATTAAATATTAGCATAGTTAAATGATTTAAATAATGCACGTATGTATTAAAAAGCTCCAAGAGGATGAATAAGACCTTATTATTAAACCAGTTCCCTTTGTGGGGAGAGGGATCAGGCAGGTGGTACACAGGGAGGTATTTCATACCTGATTTTTGAACTGTGTGAATATGTTAGTTTTTTCTTTTTTTTTTTTAAGATTTTATTTGTTTATTTGACAGAGAGATCACAAGTAGGCAGAGAGGCAAGCAGAGAGAGAGGAGGAATCAGCTCCCTGCCGAGCAGAGAGCCCAACCCAGGACCCTGAGATCATGACCTAAGCCAGAGGAGAGGCTTTCACGCACTGAGCCACACAGGCACCCCTGTGTTAGCTATTTTTTAAAAAGCTAAACGGGCACCTGGGTGGCTCAGTGGTTTAAACATCTGCCTTTGGCTCAGGTCATGATTAGGTCCTGGGGTCAGGACCTGCGTCAGGCTCCCTGCTCAGCGAGGAGCCTGCTTCTCCCTCTTCCTCTGCCCCTCTCCCATGTGAGCACACACTCTTCTTTCTCTCAAATAAATAAATAAAATCTTCTTTAAAAAATTAAAAACAAATAGTAAATTTAAACAGTCCTAGACTCGTAGTCATAGATGTAGACAATTATTTAAGTGCCTCAAAAGTAAGATTTATCCTATTTAGACAAAATATTAACAGTGGTTTTACTCCTCATGCAATTCCATTTTATAATATTCTAAATATTTTTTCTTCTCATTCTACCAGAGAAAATCCCTTCCAAAATATGTATATGCATACGCTTCCCTGCTGATAATTTTACGGGACTTCAAAATAATTTTTTAGTTAACTTTCCAAAATTATTAATCTTCTACTTAACAAGATTTCTTTTACGTAGAAAGTTTTCTTGACACACGTTTTACCCTAGAGAGCAGAGTCTCAACACTGAAAAAAGCACATCAAGAACATTTTTACAGTTGTCGTGATACATTTTTTTACCACTTTAAAATCAACACGTCACCGCGGAGGCCCCTGCAATTTCATCACTGTTCTGTGGTGACTTGTGACAGAGATCGCGTACTCTTCACCGTGGTACACATTTCACTCCCATGGCTCACTTTCTTCCTTCTCACCTCCGCAAGTGCAGAATGAATGAAAGATTCATGAGAATCTTAACATGAGATCCATCCTCTTGACAAATTAAACACAAAATGCGGTATTTGTACCATAGGCACAGCACTAGACAGCGCATCTTTGGAACTTCATCTTGCGGAACTGAAACTTTGGACCTGTTGAACAATGGTTCCCACTTCCCTCCACCCCCCAGCCCCTGGCAACCGCCATGCTCACTTTCCATTTGACTGCTTTAGGTACCTCCTGTAATTGGAATCCTGCAGCACTGTAATGTCCTCTGGGTTCATCCACACTGTTGCTTGTGGCAGGATTTCCTTGTTTTGAAGGCTGAATAGTATCCTACTGGATGTTTTACCACATTTTCTTTATCTACTCACCCACTGGTGGACATTTAGGTTGTTTCTATACCTTGGCTATTGTAAATAACGCTACAGTGAACGTGGGGAGCAGATCTCTCTTTGAGAGCTGATCTCTCTTTGAGAGCCTAATTTCAGCGTTTACTTTGATAAATACCCAGGAACAGGATTCCTGAGTCACATGGCAGTTTGATTTTTAATTTTTTAAGGAACCTCCATACTGTTATAAACTTCTAAATGCTTTTTAGCACACTTTCCATTTCATTATATAGATGATTATGTGAAAGGCCCAATATTTAATAAAAGTAATTTTTTATTACTTCATCAAAAGCATACTTAAGTGAAACTAGCATTATTTTTAACTACAAGTGCATGCCAATAAAGAATACAGAGGCCATTAATACAGTTTGGTGCCACTGGTTTGATTGCCATGAAAGCACTTGATCGCCTTAGCGCCATTAGGATAAATGTTAGCACGGTGGAAAAGGCCAACAGCATGTTTGTATTATTATGAAAGCAATTTTGGCTTCATGGACCTGGTCCTTAGAAAAGGTCTCAGGGACCCTGGGAGGTTCATAGACTGTGCTGAGAAATGCCAAACTACACTATACTATCCACTTACCTTCCATAGCTGGGAAATCTGGGTCTTTGAAAGGAAAGGTGACTAGTACTAAGGGCAGAGAAGGTGTTAGTGGCAGCTGTAAGATTTATGTCTGCTGAGTTCTACATTCCTACATAGTACCAGGTCGACCTCTTTAAATAAAGCATGGTAATTCAACAAGGATTTATTGATTTGCTAAGGAAACAGAACACATTTGTCATTTTTACTAAAATAATCTGATTCCACTTGCAAAATAACTAGACATATTGGAGGATTAATATCAGATCACTCTAAGCAGAGTAGAATTAAGTAACTCTTAGAAGATCCTGAAAAATCAAGCTTGTTTTAATTTTTTCTTCCTTTTACACATTTTTGTGTCCCCAGCCTATCATTGAGAAAGGTTTCTGAGCAAAAAACACTGTACTATTCCTATTTCTCAAGCATGGACCTTGGTGTTGAGGGCTGTTCATTATAGCCATTATTCTTTAAAATGATTTCTAGGCTAATTGAGCATTTAAAAGCAGAACATCAGACCAAACCAGAGAAGGGCCTTGTGCTGCCTTTCCCACGATGGAAACAGAGAGTAGGCTCAGAGCTCAGAAATATTATTGCCTGGGGAAAAAAGTATCAGTTTGATCGGAATTTAAGAGATGGGTTAAGTGTGAGAAAGTCTGAGTTGGTATAGCAACAATTTCATAGTAGTTATTTTCTAGAATGGGTGTAAATAAAGGACAGAAAAAAAAGAGTGTAGCTTTTGAGAGAGCAAAATATTAAAAATTGTCACAGGAAGTGACGAAATGTTTTACAAGGCCCCTAAAGGGAGGTGTGATGCCAAATCCATCCTGTTCCTTGGGGTAAGGAAACCAAAGGCCTTGAACATTGCTCAGTTTCATAGTCTCTGATCCTGGGTGTTGCTGGACCTTACAGTTTTGGTTTTGTTTGTTTGGTTTTTAATTTAGGTGTTTTACACACTTTTAGATGGTAACATCTTGTTAACACCCACCTAGGTGAGAAAAATGTGACAGTTATTTCTTGAAACATGATACCTGCCTCTCTCTCAGGGTTCAGGGTCACTGTCCTAATCATCCATGCGTCAGTTTCATTTCTCGAGCACCTGCTGTGTATCAGATACTCATCTAGTTACTGGAGGGAAGCAGCCCAGGCTCCCCTCTCGTGGAGCCTGCATTCTAGAGGAGGGAAACAGACCACAAACGAAGCAGCAGCAGGAGCAAGTGCCATGGCCCCCAGGAAGGAGCAGGGTGAAGGAGGAGGTCAGTAAAATGAAATGAGCTTAGAGAGGTGGGGCCCTTAGGCCAAGCAATAAAATTGGAGGATTAAGCAAGGGAGAGGTATAATCTGATTTACATTTCTGAGAGATACCTTCAAGTACTGTCTAGACAAGAATGGAAATGTCACATGTGAAAACAGGGAGACCAGTTTGGAGATGAGGGTAATGCAGTCCGAGGAGGAGCTCCCGGCAGCAGGAACTAAGGTGGGGAGAAATGGAAGGATGGAAACCGTGTTTGGAGGGAGCGTTGACAGGCAGGGTTAAATGTGGGTGTGGAGGAAAATAAAGGATCAAGGCTAATTCTTTGGTATTGATTTTTAGTTTGAGTAGATCGGATGCCAGTCGTTGACCTGGGGAATCTAGGGGTTGAAGGAGGAATCCAGGTTCTGTTTAGAACATGTTACATTTTGAGATGCTAATTAGACCCCCAAGTGGAGACTGAAGTTCTGGGTAGAGATCAGGGCTTTTTGGCTAATAATGGAATTTGATGGTATTACATAGGAAGAGAACAGAAAGTGCAGGGAAGGGATCTATTTGCCAACTAGCCTGTAAGAGTTTCATTATTCTAATACCAGGTACAGATATGCCAGGATACCAGTTATGTGCCCTGGAAACCTGTGCAAGAGTGCTGTCAGTGGGGGTAGAAACACCCCATGGGGCAGCTGAGGAGATAAGTGAAGGGCATGAGTAAGGAAATGGGAGGGTAGTAACTAGTGACAGATTTTTCAAGAAGTATTGCCACCAAGTGAATCAGAGAAATGGGCCTGTAGCTTGAGGATGTTTGCAAGTGAAGGAATGTGTTTTTTAAGGTGAGAGACTAGTCTAGAACAATGCTGTTCAGAGTATCCTCAACTGAGCGGCCAAGTGTCTGCTAATAGCACAGAGTGAGCTGGGTGGGAAATGGCGAGGAGGAGTTTGGAAACGTACAACACTTTTTATATTACCTGAAACCTCCAAGCAGGTGATCATTTTTCTGATACTCATTTTGATTGTACTTTTAAAATGAATCAGTGACAGGCTGAAATTTAAAAAACAAATTGGTCCTTTAAAACACCACCCCCCCACCCCCACAGAGTCACAGAGTTTGAGAAGCTCTAGAATGTGTTTGATAGCTGATGATAAGATCTAGTAGTAGAGAGAGAGAAGTGGATGATTCAGGAGAGAGAAGGGATAGTGTCAGGAGCAGAATCCTTGGGAAGGGAAGAATACTGAGACCCCAGGCATCAGTAGAAAGATTGGTCTTGGGTAGGAGCAGTGATATTTCTTCCTTGTCATTGGAAGGAAGTTAGGAAATAAGGTTACAGACACAGGGGTAGGAGTACCATTGGTCCAGGAAAGGTGAGGGAGGCCCTTTCAGGTGTTTCTGTGCCATCTTACCTGCACTGAATTGGACTGACAACCAGACAAACCCAAACTTTTCTTACATATGTGTGTGGTGTCAGTAAAATCCTCCCTCAGGCTACTATATGAGAATCAGCACTGAATGATCACCAGACAGAATTCAGAACCATCTTTCTTTGTCTACATGACCACCCTTAAGATGATGTAGAGTTGATCCAGTACCCAAAAGGATGGGTTCCAAGTTTTGCACATCGGGTGAACTTTCAGTAGGAAAATAGCTTACTTTTTTTTTTTTTTTTCTGGCAAAAAGAACATGAGGCTTGTATCCAAAAGTATAAAATTATACTGGTGGCACACCACAGGTTAGATTTAAGGGGAAGTGAATTGATAAACAAATCGAACATGACCAATCAGATAAGTATCATGACTTGCAATAATCGATCCTAGCAGTATGTTCCGGTTGGACTAAAATGTCATGCGTTATAGCCCATTTCCGTTAACTCATCAAGACATTCATTTAATACACTGGGATGAAAACAACATGGCCTTTCCCGAAGAGAGTAATCTTTGTAGACCGTAACAGTTGTGTGACATTCTACTCGAGCATGGTCTTAGCTTTGCGCTTCTAACAGAGCTTAAAGAGACTTTGTCTTCTTTTGTGGAGGTGACAGAAGGTAGTCAGGGACTTTGTCTTTGTGAGAGTGCTAGGCAATTGTAGAACTTTCCACATTTCACTCCTAAGCTTAGCGGTTCAGGACAAGTTGATTCCTGAGTTCAGAGAAGCCTTTATGGTATTTTTTTTTCTGTATTTGTGAAATATTTTACATTAAGTATTTGTTACTTTCTAGTTTAAAAAATCTCTTTAAAGTGAAATAACTCAAAGAAAAATACTGTGTATCACTTATATATGGAATCTAAACAAAGTCAAAACTGTAGAAGAAGAGACTAGCATGGGAGTTAGCAGGGGCTGAGGGGATGGGGAAGATAGAGAAGTGTTGGTCACAGAGTACAAACTTCCTGCTGTAAGATGAATAGGTTCTGGGGATCTAATGTACAGCATGGTGATTATAGTTAATAATACTGTATTGTACACCTCAAAGTAGCTAAGAGAATAGCTTAAAAAAAAAAAAAAAACCAGACTGAATCAGAGCTTCTGAGTCACATATCCAGCTTTTCAATGAATCTAGCCAAGGGAAGATCCAACCTTAGAAAGATGATTTGTATAAGATTTATAATGTTTTTTAATTTAGATTTTATGTTGCGTTTTTTAACAAGTTCTATGTTTTCTAAACCTGAAACACATACATTCAGGCAATGTGCATCTTTTCACATCGATGAGTTTCAGTGAATCCAGAAGTCTACTTTATTCCAGGCACATTTCATTAGGACAAAAAATTAAGAGTTTAAAAAAAAAAGAGAGAAGAGATGTCTGTTGTCTGTTGGCTTAATAGAGATAATCTGTGCATGAAAATGTGTGAGTTTACAAAAGAAAGTTAATAATTTTCTGGAAAGGAAATATTTTGACCTAAATGATGCAAGATAATATATATTTTTTCACTCTTACCTCTTTGGATGAAAAATATATTACATCTTATATTTTAGATAGAATTTTGTGATCAGGATTAAGATACCTGAGAAATTGACTTTTGGGGGTCTTTGCATACACGTCTGTCTGGGGGCTCCCTGTGTCCCTCCCCTAATCAGCTTCTGAATCAAAGTCACTAGTGTTAGGAAAGAACAGTGATGTCCTATTTAGTGAGAAATGATTTATTTACATATAAATGATTTTAATTTGAAACGTTTCAATGGTATATAAATAATACGTATCATTGTTTTCTGGTGAGAGATTCATAGAAAACATTACAAAATGTTTTGATATTTTATCTTGAGGATTTTGCATTTGTAAACAAATACTTTTCCTAGTTCACAGGACAGAGCAGTACCCATCTTATTGGTATTTATTAAGTATGAACACCTTTTTTTTTAAGAACTTTAAGCTCTTCCAAATGAAATATATTCTTTCTGGAAGCATTTAATCTTACCAAAGAAGTAAGTCAACATAATATTATTGGCAGGTTTTTAGACTTTCCCAAAAGAGATTTTTTTTTTTTTCAATCCAAAATTGAAATGTTAAGACCAGATTTTTGAACCTTTCATCTGACTGCATCCCAAACTTTGGGCTAACTTGTATTTCCCTTTACATCATTTTCGTTTACACTTTATAATGGCAACAGGAATTTGATCTGTGTCTGGGTCAGGGCTGTTCTTTGCTCTATGCCATGAGTCACTGGTAGATGTACTTAGTGTGGAAAACCAGTCCCTGCTGCTGGGCAAGAATTCCTTTGTTTGTTGGCTTTCTTTAAAATCTTGGTTTTTTTCCATCTGGAAATAGGGGGGGCAGGGTGAGTGGGGTAGAGAGTAATTTGCTGTGTTAAAGTAATGTTTTCACCTAATCTAAGAGATTACAATCTGTTGGGGGGTAGGAGGAAGCAAGATGTAATGTTTTTCTCCAGAATAAAAAATTTAGCTCTTCTCTTAATATTTAAACTCTAATGATTGGTTACTCTAATATCTCCCTTAAACAAGAAAAGGAACAGAACTGATTTTTTTTTCATTAAATTCTTACCCTCAGAGCAGAAATAATAAATGTTAAAGGGATCCTGAACACTCATTCCATGTGAACCAAATATGGTGACATATTTTTCAGACGAGTCATGAGTACATTTGATTTATTTAGGTGGGCAGATCAACAGAAAGCCCTATCGACTTCGTTGTTACAGACACAATTTCTGGCAGTCAGAACAACGATGAGGCCCAGATTACACAAAGTACCATATCCCGGTTTGCCTGCAGGATTGTCTGCGACAGGAATGAACCTTACACCGCACGGATATTTGCAGCCGGATTTGACTCTTCCAAAAACATATTTCTTGGAGTAAGTACTATTACTGAAGACACTGTTTCAAGAAAAACACCCATTATCATCAGATATAACATTTAATTGTAGCCAAAGATTTGCTTTCCACGATGCCTCTACTTAGATTTGGAGATTTTAATTTTCAGATGTAGAGCCTGAAAGGTTGTTATTAAGAATCTAAATATAACTAAGTCATTACCTGATTCTTGTTACATTTGCTGTATTAAGTGCATGTACAATAATTGCTTCTTTTAAATGTATATGAATATATTTATAGTAGATTTAAGGGGTTTATTTCAGTGGGAGAAAATAAATGGTCAAATCTACATAGAGTTCAAAGGAAAAGGTGACATTCTTTCATTCAGAAAATTTTCACTGGGCTGTGTCCCACATCAGGTGTCATAGATGTGATAGCACAGAGAACAAAACAGATTAAAAACTTCTGACTCCATGAGGCTTCCGAGTAAATGAAACCCAGAAGTTTTAGTCAATATACAATTGTAATATAGTTCTTCTTCTTTTTTTTTTAATCAGTATGTTTTTGCAGGGGAAAAAAAAAAAAGAACATTCAAAATGGCCTTTAAAAAATGGCCTAAACAGGGGCATCTGGGTGGCTCAATCAGTTAAGCATCTGCCTTCCACTCAGGTCATTCTCCGAGGTTCATGGAATCGAGTCCCACAACGGGCTCCTTGCTCAAGCAGGAAGTCTGCTTTCCCCTCTGCCCCTTTATCTCTGCTTTTACACACTCTCTCTCTCTCTCTCTCAAATAAATAAATAAAAATTTTTTTAATGGCCGAAACAATAACAAGAATGTATTATTTCTGTAACAAGAAGCACCAAGGAAGACAGGCCCAGGCCTGGGTAATTCAATGGTTCTGTGACATCCAGGGAAGCAAGTTTGTTCTATCTTACCCCCATGTCCCTAGGCAGATCTGCTTCCTCAAACTGCCTTAGGGATGAGAGATGGCTCCCACACTTCATACACCCCTGCCACATGGCGACTTCCAGCTGAAGAAGAGGCGGCAGAGGCACTGTTTCTTCCTTATCTCTTTATATTGGTGGGGTTTTTTTAAGATTTTATTTATTTATTTGACAGAGAGGGAGAGAGAGAGCACAAATGGGGAGGGGCAGAGGGAGAAGCAGGCTCCCCACTAAACAGGAAACCTGACCAAGGGCTTGATCCCAAGACCCCAGGATCATGACCTGAACCAAAGGCAGATGCTTAACAGACTGAGCCACCCTTTTTTTTTTTTAATTTACTTTTCATAATTGAATAAATTTGACATGTAGCATTCCATGTCAAATTTGTTCAATTTTATACTTACTTGTGTAAGTATAAGGTGTACAGCCATGTTACCATGATGTACTTATGTGTTGTAAAATGATTGCCAGTATTGGATTATTTACCACATTGTACAACTGGAGTACAATAATACGAGCTATATTCATAACACGGTGCATTAGATCTCTGTGGCTGATTCACTGCTCATTACAAGCTTGAACCCTTAAACACCATCAGTCTTACCACTCTCTCCCTGTACACCCCCTCCCCCATCCCATCCCTGATAACTGTCATTTTACTCTGTTTTTCATAGGCTTAACTTTTTAAGATTCCACATACATGTGATATCATTTTTCTCTGACTTGCTTAGCATAATGTGCTTAGCATAATGTGCTCAGGGTCCATCCACGTTGTTGCAAATGGAAGGAGATCCTCCTTTCTTGTGGGTAAATAATATTTACAGTGTCTTTTTTTAATCTGTTCACTCATTGATGGGTATTGGGGTGGCCTTTTATATCTTGGCTATTAAGAATAATGCAATAAACATGGGAGTGCCTGTATCTCCTTGAAATCCTGTCTTCATTTCCTTTGAGTGTGTGCCCTAAAGTGGAAATGCTGGATCACGTGGTAGCTGTTTTTCATTTTTTGGCTATTTGGGGTCTTTCCTGGCTGCACACAAAGTTCAGGATTATTTCTTCTATTTCTGTAGGGAATTCTCTTAATATTTAGATGGAGATTGTGCTGAATCTGTAGATGGGTTTGGGTAGTATGGCCGTTTTAACAATATTCTTCTGATTCAGCTCTCTTCCCATTTGTCTGTGCCTTCAGTTTCTTTCAGCAAAGTCTGTACTTTTCACTGTACAGATCTTTCACGTCCTTGGTGAAATTTATTCGTAAGTATTTTACTGTTCTTGATGGTGTTGTGAGTGGAATAGTTTTCTTTAGGCCTTTTTCAAATGCTTCCTCATTAGTGTAAAAGAATGCAGCTTACTTCTCTATGTTGGTTTTGCGCCCTGCCATTTTCCTGAAAACGTTAATTCCAACAGCTTTTTGACTGAATCTTTGCAATTTTCAATATATAAGATCATATCATTAGCAAACAGTGCTAAGCAATAGTTTTACTTCTTTCTTTCCAATCTGTATGCCATGTATTTATTTATCTTGCCTAATTGCTCTGGCTAGGACATGTAGCACTATATTGAGTAGGAACGGTGAGCGTGGGCATCCTTGTCTTTCTGATCTTAGAGGAAACTTAGCTGCAGGTTTGTCATCTATGAACTTGATTATGTTGAGGTATATTCCTTCTGTAGCCAATCTGTTAATGGTTTTTATTCTGTAAGGATAATGTATTTTGTCAAATGCTCTTTCTGTGGCTATTAAGATGATCATGTGATTATCTTTCATTTTCTTGATATGATGTATTACATTTATTGATTTGCATTTTGAACCCTCCTTGCATCCCAGGGGAAGTCTCACTTGCTCATGGTGTATAATCCTTTTAATGCGTTTTTTAATTTGTTCGTATTTTCTTGAGAAAATTTACATCTACATATATCAGGGATATTGGTCTATAATTTTCTTGTAGTATCTTTATATGGTTTTGGTATCAAAGGAATGAGTTTGGAAATGTTCCTTCCTCCTCAACATTTTGGAAGAGTTTGAGGAGGATTGGTGTTAATTCTTCTTTAAATGTTTGGTAGAATTCTCCAGTTGAAGCCGTCTGGTCCTGGAGTTTCTTGGGATTTCGTTTAAATTACTGATTTGATCTCTTTACTCATTATTGGGCTGTTCAAATTTTCTGACTCTTCCTGATTTAGTCTTGGTAGATGTGTGTTTCTGGGAATGTTTCTTTTCTTCTACATTCTAGCTGTCTTTCATGATTCTGTGTATGTCTATAATACCAGATATAATGTTTCCTCTTTCATATCTAATTTTGGGTCTTCTTTTTTCCTAGTTTAGCTAAAGGTTTGTCAATTTTGTTCATCTTTCTGAAGAACAGTTCTTAGTTTCATTAATCTTTTCTGTTGTTTTTCTGGTGTCTAGTTAATTTATTTCTGCTTCAATCCTTATTTCTGCTAACTTTGGGATTGCTTATTCTTTTTCTAGTTCCTTGAAGTATAAAATTAGGTTAAAATTAGCTTGTTTGAGACTTTTCTGATTTCTTTTGGTTTTTAAGATTTTATTTATTTATTTGACAGAGAGAGCGAGAGAAGGAACACAAACAAGTGGAGTGGGAGAGGGAGAAGCAGGCCTCCCGCTGAGCAGGGAGCCTGACGTGGGGCTCGATCCCAGGACCCTGGGATCATGACCCAAGCCAAAGGCAGACGCCCAACAACTGAGCCACCCAGGCGCCCCTAGACTTTTCTAATTTCTTAATATGCATGTTTATTGCTATAAGATTCTCAGAACTTCTTTTGTTGTATCCCACAATATTTGATGTTGTGTTTTCAATTGTTTCAAGATAATTTTTCCCCTTTTGATTTCTTCTTTGACCCAATGGTTATTTAAAAGGGGGTTGTTTAGTTTTTTTTTTTTTGCAGATCTTCTCACTTCTCTTTGATTGTCACTTTCTAGTTCATACCACTGTGGTCAGGGAAGATAGTTGATATGATTTTAGTCTTCTTAAACTTACTAAATTTGTTTTGTGGCCTATCCTGTCTCTCCTAGAGAATGTTCCAGTGCACTTGAGAAAAATATGTTCTGCTACTGTTGGATAGAATGTTCTGTATAGATCTTTTAAGTCTGCTTATTCTAAAGTGTGGTTCAGTTCCAGTGTTTCCTTGTTGATTTTCTTTCTGAAAAATCTATTCTTTGCTGACAGTGGGGTATTGAAGTCTCCTGCAATTATTATATCGTAGTCCATTTCTCTTTTAGATCGGTTATTATTTGCTTAATATAATTTGGTGCTTGGATGTTGGGCACATATATATATTCACAATCGTATTTTCTTAATATACTGACCCTTTTATGATTATGTAATGACTTTGTCTCTTATTACCCTTTTTGGCTTGAAATCTGTTTTGTCTTATACAAATTTGACTATACCAGCCTTACTTTAGATTCTTTTTGCTCGTAATATCATCTTCTATCCTTTCATTTTGAGCCTATGTGTGTCTTTAAAGCAGAGATGAATCTCCTATAGGACAGCATATAGTTGGGTCTTTTGTTGTTGTTTTTATTTTTAATCCATCCAACCACTCTATGCCTTTTGGTGAGTTCAGTGCATTTGCAGTTGGTGTGATTATTGATATGTAAGGACTCACCACTGTCATTTTCTCTTTTGCCTTCTGGTTATTTTGTCTCTCCATTGTTTCTTTTTTCCTTCCATTTCTACCTGCTTCTGTACATTGGTGGTTTTCCATGGTGCTTTTTGCTTAGTTTTCCCCACTTTTAATGTTTTGTCTCTGCTCTAGATTTTTGCTTTGTAGTTTTCATGAAGTTTACATAAAACAACTCATAGATAAAATAGTCCTTTTTCTGCTGAGAGCAATTTCTCTTCTTTTGCCTATGAAGATTCCTTTTACTCTTTTCCTTTTATGTTTTTGATGTCACAAACTCTTTTTATGCTGTGATCTTGTTACCACATTGTAGTAGCTGTAGTTATTTTTACTATTTATTACAGGTATTTTTAATGCTCTTCACCTTTAAACTTTGTGCTATCATTATAGAGTTTAGTATACTCTTATAAAGAGTTGCCATTTCTGATTCTGTCACCTTAATCAGAGTTTTGTGTCCCTCTGTCTTTTCATTTCAGCTTGAAGAGCTCCTTTCAGCAATTATATAAGGCAGATCTAGGGATGGTGAACTCCCTCAGCTCTTGTTTGGGAAAGCCTTTAATTCTCCTTCATATCTAAAGCATAACTTTACTGGGTAGAATATTCTTGGCTGGCAGTTTTTAATCTGAGAAATTGTATAGCCTGATGGGGATTCCTTTGCAAGGAATCTTTTATTGCCCTAGCTGCCTTTAAAATTTTATAATTGACTTTTTAATAGTTTTAATATAATGTGTCTTGGAGAAGGTCTTGCATTGAGATAATAAGATGTTCTTTTGGCTTCATGGACTTTATATATCAAGTTCTTTTCCCCAAGTTTTGGAGGTTCTCAAGAGTTATTTCTTTAAGTATGCTGTTTGTCCTTTTTCCCCTTGCTTCTCCCTCTAGAAAATTCATTATTCTTATGTTGGCTTTTCTGATGGAGTCTACTAGCTCTTGTAGTTTTTCTTCACTTCTTAAATCTTAATTCTCTCCTCCCTTCCATCTGAATCATTTCTCTGTTCCTGTCTTCCATCTTACTAATTCTCTCTTCCACCTGATCTGCTCTATTTCCAGTGCATTCTAATGCATTCCTCATGTCATTTATTGAGATCTTTTGTTTGGTTCTTTTTTAGAATTTCGGTGCCTTTGGTAAAGCATTCCTTCTGTCAGTTATATTTCTGAGGTCATTGTATTGCCTGACTTTTCTTGTAGCTCATTAAATTTCTTCATAGCAGCTGTTTTGAATTATCCATTAGATTGCAATATACCATGTCTTTGGGTTCAGTTGCTGGAAAATTGTCAATTTCTTTTTGTGATACTATATTACTGTGATTTTTTTCTTGATGTTTGATTAAAAGTGCCTCTGTCTTCACATTTAAAGTAGGGAACACCCTATTTAGGCAAGGTTCTATTTACTTTGATTCTAACAGTTCAATGTGTTGGTAGTTAGGAGCCTTTTATTTTTCAAAGATAGCACTATAGCACAAATTTTTGGTTTCTCTTAAGAGTGTGGGGGCAGACTTCACAGAGGTTGGAAGTGGGCGTCAAGGGAAAAGGAATGGGGGGGTGCAGCAGAGCTGAGGGAGGTGTGTACTTAGTTCTTGGGACTTTGATGTGCCCACAGCCTGGTAGGGAGGATCCTCAAGTTGGAGCAGGGGATGGGGTGAGGGGGGGGCTCCCAGCAGTCCATGGACCAGAACCCTGGGGCAGACAGTAGGAGACAGTTCTCTGAAGTTCTCTTTGCCTTACTTGCCTCCCCCCACTCACTGCAGTCTTTCCTCAGAGACAGCAGTGGGTTCTTCCAGCTATAGAACATGCATGCGGCAGAACTCTCCCGACCTCCTTCACCCTCCACCTCCTTTGTCAGAAAAGGTCACGCTATCCCCCTGCCCACCAGCCACTGCCTTTGTCACCTCTGACTCCCCAGCAACTCCCCTCACCTGCCTCTTCTGTGAGGCCATCTACCCACTTTGAGGGGCATGGACATATGGCTGTCAGGTGATCTGGAGGCCACGCCGCCATGCTCTTTTTTGGCTATTGATGTCTGATTAGTTGTAAATCCAAGGGGCAAGGAGAAAGGAATAACCCATGCTGCTTGGAGCCTGAGGTCACTCCCCCTTCTTGTTCTCTCTTTAGAGCAAAGGATCCTTACAGGAAGGCTCCTAGAAAACCCACTCGTATCTCATTGGCCAGAACTCAGTCACTGGCAAGAGGGCTTATCCTAATCAGAATGGACTCCTGAGTCATGTGAGCAGTAGCTGGCCGTGTCATCAAGAAAGAGAGCTCACTAGCCCAGGCATCGAAGAGCATTTGTCCTGCCCTTTTAGCAAGCCGTCTTTACCTTCCATCTTTGAGGATATAAACAGTGATATTTATGAAGATACACTGGCCCCAACATGTTAGTGTAACATTTTTTTAAATTTTGCATGTTTAATAAAAACTCCTTTTTTCCCCTTCCTTCTGTATACTTCCCAGGTAATGATTACATGTAAAGCACTGATACATAAGAGGCAAAAGGATTGCACAAATAGAACCGAAGAAGACATAGTAGATTCCCAGAATCTCCCCAGGGTAACGGGGTTGGATAGAAAAGAACCTCTGAAGGAAGGGCTCAGGCATCAGGTTCTTTTTTTTTTTTTTAAAGCTCCCAAGATGAATAGAATGCATATCCAATGATAAATCATTCATACATTTTAGCACTTTCATGTTATCAGAATAATTGCATATTTTATCCTTCTGATTATTAGCTTTAAATAGAAAATGAAAATTCATCACTTCCCTTCCTTCTGCCTGTACCGGATATTTTAAAGAGATTCTGGAATCCCTTCATTTTGAACACAATCTTAGCGTGCTTTTTCTCTTCTGTGGTATGTTCTCCAGGAAAAGGCAGCGAAATGGAAAAACCCCGACGGCCACATGGATGGGCTCACTACTAATGGCGTTCTCGTGATGCATCCCCGAGGGGGCTTCACTGAGGAGTCCCAGCCTGGGGTCTGGCGTGAAATCTCAGTCTGTGGAGACGTGTACACCCTGCGAGAAACCAGGTCAGCCCAGCAAAGAGGAAAGCTGGTGAGTGGTCTTCACTCTGGAAAATGTACCACACTACAAGAGCCTCGCTCAGGGACTGTCATTTTTCTCCCCTGAAATCTAGAGCCTTTATGGAGGTAACAGTGCTGTGAACCATTGACCCAGAAGAATGAGAATTCCCTAAGCCCCTGAAAATGCTAACAACATGGGCTCATTTCCTTCCATGATTAAGCTTTTCCCATAGTAGAAGAAAATTATCTTTTTCCTCTTTACTACCTTAATAGTGTATCCTTTATTATTTGCTTCATTACAAAATTCCACTTAAATTCACTTTAAGAAGGACATACTTATTTTTCGTGTAAAACTTTACTAATTTGGAAAAATCCTGAGCTGTCCAAGACTAATTAGTGAAAATTATGAATTAAGGAATTATTTACTAGACTTTCTGGAACTAAAAGATAATTAAGTTAGCTTTTTTCCCCTTCAGTTCATTTTAAGAAATTAATACATAATTCCCTATGTAATTCACCAAAATCACAAAACTTTTTACTTGAAATCATTCATAGAGGGCATTGACTTGACATGTTAATATTTTCCTATAAATATCCCTGGCTTATCCCAAATGCCCTAAAGCAGTTGGCTTTTTAACTCTTTCCTTCTGTGGAGAATAATTATAAGCCCTTAAATGGGAAGTTTGCGGTGTGTGATCTTGCCATGGCTGTGTGGCACAGCGCCAGACGTTTCTGAGTAAACTTGCGGCTCCAGTGCTTTTCATTAATTGGTGGATAGAAGTTAGAATAGGAGAGAATGAATGTTTTCTTCCCCCCCTAGAAAAGCATAGAGTGATCTAGCATTTTTCAGCAAGCTGATAACAGGTTTCACTGAGTCAGAAAAAGAAGATGGCAGTGGTGGGAGGTTGGGGGGGTTGAGGGAGACTTTAGTACTAACCTGGTTTGCTAGACCCTACTCAATGTTTGTTTGTAGGGAACTGTTATTTTTATTTCTATTTCATACCATTACTGAACTACAAATACAGCTTCTGCATTTTTACAACAAGGCCCAATATTAGAGCATCCTGGCTGAGTAAACAGAAGTTTTTTCCAAGAAAGACCAGAGCAAATACGATAACATCTGTTTAAACACTTCTCAAGAGACTGTAAATAGGGAACAGACTGTGAAAGCAGTTTTTTCAAATAACTTTGTTTCTGATCACTGGATAACTTCATACAAAACTGACCGAGGTCGGCTGAACTGGTTCTCAGGCGTGATGATGGCAACAGTAGAAGTCAGTATAAGTCGTTGCTGGATCAGGCACTACGTGAACATTTCAGAGACCTCAGGTCATGAAATCTGGGCAGCTTTGTCAGAGAAGTGGAATCCTGCCCATTTTGTGGATGAGGAAGGTATGGCACAAGAGGTTAAATATTGCCCAGGGTCCCAGAGTGAGAAGGTGGCAGTAGATGGAATTATAACGTGTCCTCCTTGATAGAGTCTGGACTCCCACATTGCCATTTGGTATCCTCTTGTGGGGAGCCCCAGCCGGCCCTCACCTGGGAGAGTTACACCAGAGCATTTGCTTTCTTGGGAAATAGAAAGCGTTCGCTGGAGTCCGAGAAGGGCTTGTCTTTCTCAACGGGCACATTTCTAGAATGAGCTTCTTGCCCATCCTCGGTGATTGTGCAGTGACCCAGCTCAGGCAGCTGTGTGTGTCATGGGAGGGGACATGCTCCTGAGAAGAAACGACTCACAGAATAGCCTGTGTTCAGGGATTGTGTTAAGTGTCAACTAATTTTAAAGTCAGTCCCTGTAGGAGACCCTCAGATCTTCCCCAGATTGTGCTATACTGATAGTGTATGGTGTAAAGGTTTCTGAGTTCCATGCAGCTGATCTTGCACTATGGGAAACACGGGGTGGGGAGGGGGTCAGTGAGAGGACCCAGCCCCCCTATAGCCCCCTCTTGTTAACCAGGGAAGGTTCATCTGTGGTGAACACCTGCTGATTCTGGGAGCTTAGGTTTCCATTTCGGACTCTGGTTCTGTAGCTGTGGCTGGTAGCATTGAGGTAAGTGGTCTGTCTGGAGATAGATTTAGAGAATAGGGCTCTGGCAGTCCGTACGTTTGCAACCGAATACAGAAATACGGAGACTAATGTGATCTGCTGGCAATTCAGAATATTTTGAAAGTAGTAGATGCCTCCTGTTCTTGGTGTGGAACTAGTGCTGGTAGAAGGTTTCGGATTAATACCATACTCAGTGTTTAATGTGAATCATCATACTGATATGTTAACAACTGCCATGTTTCTCATCACAGCAAGCTTTGTCCTTGATCAATATAATTAATTAAACGTGGGGGAAATGCCCCTTCAGGAGCTGAACCCCCTGCATAATCAGGTGAATAGACTTTGAATTGTATCCTGTTTCTTATGTTTACAGCTAGGTGTGAGCATACTATAGGCTAGGTCTACCAGATCCATACTGGATACATAATGTATCACATAATACTGGGGTATTTAAACTACACTGGCTCTGTAAAACTTAGTAAATTTAGCTAAGTTCACCTCCTTACCCAATTTTAGATGCTATAAAAATAACCCTAGTGTCACATATCGACTCTCCCAAGTGAGTCACAGTAAGTCTCTCTCGGGCAGTGCTCAGAGCAACCTCATGACATCAGTGTCATGGTTCCCAGTACAGAGGAGAAAACCAGGGCTTTAAAAAGTTGGTAACTTGCTTGTAAGCAGTAGGTGGGACCCATCCAGTCCGTCCTCCCCACTTCTGAAGTGACCTTTTGGAAAAGCAGATCTGTTCTTTTATAGCTGTGGAAAACTGCCTCCATTTCCTCTGGGCACAGGAGGCCAGACGGAACCTCCAGGCCCACTGTTGGTCGCCTGTGGCACACCGGCAGCTCCCTCCGTGCGCCTGCTGTGTGGCCTTGCCTCCCTCTTTCTGGACCGTCTTCTCTTCCACCCACTAGTTCCTGACAACAATGTTTTCAAATCTCTGTTCAAGGGCAATCTTTTTTAAAAAGCATTTCTGACCTCCTGTCCTCAAACTAACAGTAGCAAACATCAGCATCGTGCTTACTGCCTGCCAGACATGGTTCTAAGAACATTCTTTGTATGATTTAATGCTCACCCTCCTCTTGTCCAGTCCAGAAGGGGGAACCAAGGGGAACGAAGGCACAGGTAGCTGAGGTAACCGCCCCAGGTTAGAGCTAGTACGTGACCGAGCCTGGGTGCACACGGAGGCCATGGGCTGTGAAGTCCACGCTCCTAGCCCCTTTGGGGACGTGGCCTCACATGACGGTTGCAGCACATTATGGACCTTCACTGGCTTCTAGCTCCAGCATGTCTGCCTCCTGCTAGTGAAGAAGACGTCTCTTCAGGATGGTAGAGAAGCTGTATTAGCTCCAGGCACATGGAAGCAGTGGTTGGATTCCTGCCTGCCGTGTCTAACAGCTTCACCTCAGCTGTTAATCAGACTTGTAAGCTCTTGGTGTACTATGTGTCGTCCTTTTTAAAGTGAAGGCTTTCTCTTTCTCTTTCTCTGACTTACTTCACTCAGCATAATACCATCCACATCAGTGTAAATGATAAAATTCCATCCTTTCTGATGTCCAGTAGTCCACTGTGTGTGCGTGTATGTACACACACCACATCTCTATCTAGTCTTCTGCCAACGGACAGTGGACATCTGAGCTCTTTCCATAGTCTGGCTAGTGTGGACATTGCTGCTATAAACATTGGGGGGCAGGTGCCCCTTCAGATTACTGCATTTGTAGCTTTGGCGTAAAAACCCAGTAGTGCAGTTGCTGGAAAGAAGTCAGAAAGGGAGGCAAACAGAGACTCTTAACTCTAGGAAACAGGGTTGCTGGAAGGGAGGAGGATGGGGGGTGGGGACAGGGTGACAGACATCAAGGAGGGCACGTGATATGAGGAGCACTGGGCGTTATACGCAACAGATGAATTACTCTACATATGAAAGTAAGTATGTACTATATGTTGGCTAACTGAATTTAACTTAAAAAAATGGCAAATGGCAAATGCTTCTCCAGATCATAGGAATTCAGAACAAACAACAGATTGAGGGAAGCTAAAGATCACCAGGCATCATTTGGGCCACTGCAGTCCTTATCGCAGGGTCCCACAAGGACCTGGGTCGGAGGTGGTCACAGGGAGGATGAATCTTCACAGCTGGACAGGTGGGACACGTCCTGTCCCTCGAGCGGTCAAGGAGCAATAGTGTTATTGATGAGGAAAAATGAAAACCTAAGATTGATGAAGTTGGTTAAAATAATCACTGCAGGAATTGAACATTTAGGGTTTGCGAGGACGGCCCACCCCTATTCCATCCCGTGTCCCTGTGAGGAAACAGGCGGGGCTCAGGGAGGAACAGCCTCCTGGAGCCTCTCAGGGAGGCCGCGGGGAGACCGCCTGCCCGTGTTCGCTTGCACGAGAATTTTTACTCAGAGAAAAGAACGTTAGAGCGCGGGGCTGCACGGTGCTTCTACCAGGCCTGTCCACCTCGTTGCAGGTGGAAAGCGAGACCAACGTCCTGCAGGACGGCTCCCTCATCGACCTGTGCGGGGCCACGCTCCTCTGGAGGACGGCGGACGGCCTGTTCCACACCCCGACGCAGAAGCACATCGAAGCCCTGCGCCAGGAGATCAACGCCGCGCGGCCGCAGTGCCCCGTGGGGCTCAACACCTTGGCCTTCCCCAGCATCAACAGGAAGGACGTGGTGGAGGAGAAGCAGCCCTGGGCCTACCTCAGCTGCGGCCACGTGCACGGCTACCACAACTGGGGCCACCGGAGCGACACGGAGGCCAACGAGCGCGAGTGCCCCATGTGCAGGACTGTGGGCCCCTACGTGCCGCTCTGGCTCGGCTGCGAGGCGGGCTTCTACGTGGACGCCGGGCCCCCCACGCACGCTTTCACCCCCTGCGGACACGTGTGCTCCGAGAAGTCCGCCAAATACTGGTCCCAGATTCCCCTGCCTCACGGGACTCACGCGTTCCACGCCGCCTGCCCTTTCTGCGCCACGCAGCTGGTCGGGGAGCAGAACTGCATCAAATTGATTTTCCAGGGACCCGTGGACTGATGCCCCGGACAGCCGTGTGCGACTTTATTAACAAGTTACTGTGAAGATTTTGCCACTAACTCTAGATTTTACCTTTTTATAATGCTGTTTATTAAGGGGAGGGGGGACCTGAGGCTGGGGGGGGGGTCGGGGGAGGGCAAAAAGGGGGGTGGGGTGTCACGGCGCTGAGACATGCCCGGAATTTAAGACCGCAGTGGCGTGGTGCATGCTCTGAACAGCGGCACTGTCATGGAAGTATGCTTGATGCAACCATCCTATCTTTGTACTAATTGGATTAAAAAGGCCATGCTTTTATTTTAACCTTAGGTTTTTAAACGAGGTTTTCCTTTGTAAACTTGGACGAGACTTGAAATCCTATTTTACAAATGCAGATGAAACTCATTCAAAAGGCGTTGCCTCTCCACGTGCGCCCTTCCGTGCAGCGTGGCCTCGGTGGTGACCCGGAGCCGTGCGCGGCGCCTGCAGAGCCTTGACCGAGACTGGGAGCTGAGCGGCTCTGACTCCGCCGCTCGGTACAAAGGGATGAAATGAGATGAAAACCTAAGATTGGTGAAGTTGGTTAAAATCATCACTGCAGTAATTGAAGGAGGCCTTAGGCATGGAGGGCTTGTTCTGAAAGCTGGGGTTTTCGGATTTTTCTGTTTTTTGGGGGGAAGAGAACATCCCTTTGCTGCCATGTTTTGTTTTTACTTTGGTGGAATTCAATGGCTTTATCCACACAGTCATCTGAGAACTTGGCATTTCAAAGAAATTTCCGTAATTTTTTATTCCACCTTTGGTTATGTCCTTGATAACGCCTTGTGCATGGCCAGAACTGTTTGGTTAATTAAAATGCAGCAACTCTTAAAAATTCCGTAATCAAGGGGGATTATTGCAGCAGTCAGTATGGCCTACGTACTATACCATCAAGTTTCTTTTCTTACTGCATTGTTGAGGATTTAGGATTAAAAATAAGGTTTTACCTTTTAGGAAACCACTTGTTGGGGTTTCTTAAGTGTTTCTCCCTTAAGGCGGCCAAAATTCTGGGAGCCTCGAAGCAACAGCTCACAAGGATGCAGACGTTTTGGTTCGCTCGCTCCCTGCCATCTGTCACCTTCTCCTGCAGCGTACGGAGCCCCGTAAGTCTAGAAAATGTTTGCAAATCAAACTAAATTTAAATGGGATCATTAGATATACACAACACCAAGTGCTACATCTGCAGAGATAATTTGAAATTCCTGATTTCAAGAGAGCAAATGAGTGTTTACTGAGGAATAATTAAATCAGAATTTCATATGAGCGCCACCATCCTTCTGTTAGTTCTATTCATTTTGAGTGATTCTCGGATGCTCATTCTCTGTCCTCGGTACAGATAGCGTCCCTGCTCCCAGAATGTAAAGATTTCTAGGCCAGGAGACTGCCACAGCTCCGCTCATAGACTTGAAGCAGAGCCTGCCACATGCAGCAAGTATTTATTTAAACTAACATCCATGCTATATTTTAACCTTTTAAGGGTATAGAATTTACAGGATTCTCACATACTGTGTTCATACTTGAATATCTTTCCATGTTTTGCCCCCTGGGAAATATGTTGCCCTGTTTTCAGTTGTTCTAACCCATGGTGAAGGTCTTTCTTCCTGAAAGCGATTAGATTACCCTTGATTGCTGCTACTTATTTGACCTAATATCTAAAAAGTTCAGCTCAGTTTTTTTAAAAAAAAGCTTTACTTTTCAGAGGAGATTATCATTGAGGAGATGTTTTTTTGTTTTGGTAATTTTTAAGTGATGTGAAAATCCAGCAACAGTCCTCTTCTGGATAGCTTACTCTGTTCTGTAGGTAATTTCATTTTCTTTTCGTCTGCAGGGAGAGTAAGTCGTAATGTATCAAATGCCTTTTTAGGTAGTCTCTGTCCCCGAGGATTAGCTTTCACTTAGTTTGTCTTTTCAGTTTGTGCTCCTTTGGGCTCCACAAAATGACAGAAGCTGCAACAGTCCCTTTTTTTGCTGTATGGCTAGAAGGTGATTGGGGGAGTCTTGATACCCTAAAAGCATCTTGTATGGTAAACGGCCTTGCCTCTAAGAACGGCTGGATTTTCCCTATCAGAAACATTTCTGGAAAGTTACAATCTGCTATAATCTTTCATTTCAAGGACTGTAATAGTTCAGGGTCTAGCAGATTTAAGTGTAACACATGGCCCCAAATAACTTTACAACGTGAAATGTTTGTTGTTGTTGTTTACTTCTAGTAAATGGAGATAACAAAGTAAAAGCTGAACTTGGAGTAATAAATTCCAAGCTCTTTGAAGGGGAGTAACAGTACACTGCCCCCCGTCCACATCGCATCTCCTGTGACCTCCAAGTGAGGTACCCTTGCCCTCCGGGGAAGGAACAGCAGAGGGGCAAGACTGCCAAAAAGATGCCAGGCTCCTCTTGGCCGCTTCTAATAAGAGTTGCTTAGAATCTGACCCAAGGAGTTTCCTCCCAGGTGGAGAACAATTCAGTTTTTGAGAATAAAGAGCTCCAGCTCGACAGAGAAATGCAATTTAGAAAAAGTAACTTCTCCGAGGTTACCTCTGTTTTCATCTTGCTTACCACCACATTAAAGGGTGAGTCCCACTCTCCCAGGTGTCCACATAGGAAACTGCCGATCGATTATTGTGATCTTGGCCTGACCGAAATGCCTTTGGTGAATAGGTCACCAGAAGTTTAAAAAAAAAAAAAATACCCAGTGATGTATTCCTGTAGTTAACTTTTTCCGTTGTCAGTTTACTGTTTTAAAAGAAAAAAGGGTGGATGGGATACAATTCTGAATATTTTTCTAGTCCGGAATTTTTTTTAATTAATAATCGGTGCTGTCAGGTCATGCATGCTGCAACTCAGTATTTCCCTTATTTGATTTCGCTTTTTGCAAAAAGGGCTATGGTTCACATGGCAGAGTAAATATTAAACTTTCTGGGGTTCCCTCCCCCCACCTGTGGCCCAAAAGAATTAAAATCTTTTAATATAAATAGCATATTTATCATTCCTCAATAGTTAATTATAAAGTTTGGTACCTTTGTGCCTCAGGGAAGCCACGTGATATAACTGGTTATAGAATTTCAGGGTTAGGGTTTAAAGAAAGGAGAAAGCCATTGGAAAAATGATGGGCTCCATGAAGGAGACTAATGAATCTGGATGCAGAAATATGCCAGGAACTGGCATACACATGATTGTAATAGAATTTCTTTCCAGTATCAATAGGGAAAGCTTAAGTTAATTGCATATGCTGTATTAGGAAAGTTGAGAACTCTTCCTAAAGCTTCAATTGCTTTATTTTTGCTTACATCCTGTGTCGTGGGAGCTCAGTATTGTGATTTGGGCACTTTTGAAAGTTAAAGCGAGCATGTTTTCTCCTTTTGTCATAGGTCTCACAACTGTTACTTGTGGTTCTAGGATTTTGATCAACTTTTTAGCCATTCTGTGCTTTGACTTCATGTGAAAGGACGTGTGATCACGGCATTGTTCACGCTGGCTACAGGCTGGTTATTTTCATGCAATTTTGCCTGGTAACAGTGGAATTTCTGATAGGCAAACCACAGAACCTTGATTTTAAGCCAGATCCATCTCCATTCCCTTGGCAGGCGATCTTCTAGTCCCTAGTTTAGCCTTCATGGGCTGAGGGTATGAAGTTCCTTCTCTAGGGCTGGAAATAGAGCCGAGCTCTGTTATCGTTTCTTAATGACCCAAAGGCCAACGAGACAACGCCAGGATTTTTTTTTTTTTTTCCAAAGAAGAATGTAAGCATTGCTAAAGTAGTAAAACAACAGAAGGTTCAGTGTTTCTTTTCAGGAAAACTTATATCCTCTCAAGTTTTCGCCCTCATGAAGAAGCCCTAGAGGAAGACAGGACAAAGCAAATATTTTTCCAGTTCTACTTAACCATTTCTAAACAAGAATAAACTTGATGAAAGGGAAATTATTTCTTTTTAGCTGAGATGACCGATTGTTTCTCTGTATGAAATAGTCTAGAAGTTACGGGGTGGTCACATTTACCATGTATAGTGTTATGAGCAGTTAAATATTATGGATATATTTGTAAAACTGTTCTTTTATATTTCATGTCAAATTGAAAAGTTTATTTCTTCACTATTGTACCTGTGGAAATACAAGCCATTTTACAGGAAAAAAAAAATCTTCGAAAATTATTAAAATGAATCTCAGTACGTTTGTGAGTCATTGTCTTCAGATTCTATGGCTCTCTGGGGCTTATCAGGACATTTAATACGAAGCCGTTACAATAGTAGACTTGATTTTTACATTTCTCAAACTTTCAAGTTGATCCCATGTCCTTGTGCTTATTGTATTCTATTCCACACAATATATTTTTAAATTTAATTTTGAAAATCCCATTTTTTTATTAAAAATTAAAATTCTTTTAAACTATTTTAAAATATCCCATTGGTGCTTAAATCTAACTTCCAGGAGAATTTAACCTGACTCGTAGAATTAATGGATTTTCTTCATGTTCACTATAGTTCTAGGGCTACTTTTGCAACAATCTTCATTCACTTCTAACAACGTAAGGATTATGGGTTAGCCTTTAAGCTGTAAACAAATAGATCTTTCATAAGAAAATATATGTATTTGATAGTTTCTCATCACATTGATATTTAAGGAGGCATAATATTTGAGGGAGATGGATTTTTCATTTCCCAAAAGAAAATGCACATTAACATGGGCTTTTATTTTGGGAATTAAATTTGATAAAGTATTGGAAGACTTAAGTTTCCACGAATTCTAAGATGGATTTTAGAAAAACATAGCCACTTGGAATTGTGAGATACATCCCATTTGACAAGGGTGCCAGAGTATTCAATGGGGAAAGAACAGTATTTTCAACAAATGAAACTGGGATAACTAGATAGCCACATACAAAAGAATGATGTTCTTACTTCACACAATACACCAAAATTAACTCAAAATGGATGAGAGTGCTGAAACTATAGAATTCTTAGAAGAAAACAATAAACATTTGTGACCTTAAATGTAACACGAAAAAAAAAAATGGGCTTTAAAAAAAAAAAAATGGTTCATTTCTTTTCCCTATATTCATCTGTTTCATTTCTTAAATTCCACATTGAAACAAAATGTTTTTTATACATTGAAGGACGGGGTCAAGAAAGTAAAAAGACAAACCACAAAATAGAATTGGAAAATTCTTTAAGAGAGTTGTACACAGAAGATGTTAAGAACTCATAACTCATCAATAAAAAGAACCAGTAAAAAGAGAATGGAAAAATACATACTCAAATCTTTTGACCAAAGAGGGTACAGAAATAACCAATAAGCACATAAAAAGATTCCCATCCCCAGGCACCAGAGAAGTGCAAGTTACAACCAGAAGATAACACTTTATACCCACTATGATGGTTATTAATAAAAAGATGTAGCAAGTGTCAACAATGTGTTGAAAAATTGAAACCCTCATACACTTACAATCCCTCATACACTGTTGGGGATTATAAGATAGAACATACAACCACTTAGGAACAAATAGTATGCCTGTTCCTCTTAAGGTAAAATATACGATTGCCATGGGACTCCTACATATGTAGCCAAAGATTCCTGAAAACATGTTCACACAAAAACTTGTACGTAAATATTAATAGCATCATTAGTCATAGTAATCAATAAGTAGAAACAACCCAAAAGTCCATCTGATGAATGAAGAGGTATCTACACAGCGGAGTTAGCTATAAAAATTAATGAAATACTGATATGAACTTTGAAAACATGCCAAGTGAAGGAAGCCATACACAAAAGACTACATTGCATGTCAGAAAATAGGCAAATTCAGAGACCGAATATAGATTGACAGGCACTGAGGAGAGAGAAGAGTCAAGGAGTAAGTACTACATTACTACTTTCGTTATTGCATGAAAATGTTCTCAGTTTACATAACAGTGATGGTTGCACAAACAATACTAAATAAATTTTATACTTTGAAAGGGTGACTTTCAATGTCTGAATATTATTTCTCAAAGCTAATTTTTTAAAAAGTTACATACTAAATTCAGAGATGTTGGGCTGAAAAATCTGCATCCTAGAATTTAAATACAGCCCCATAATCTTAGTGCTTCACATAAAAATATTGAGGATCCTTGAGATGTTTTCCAAAGTCTTAAAACAGCTTATTCCTTTCTATCACACTTCCACATGCCATTAAAGAAGAACAAAGATAAAAGCCCATTAAGAAGATTAGAAGAGGGGCGCCTGGGTGGCTCAGTGGGTTAAGCCACTGCCTTCGGCTCAGGTCATGATCTCGGGGTCCCGGGATCGAGCCCCTACATCAGGCTCTCTGCTCAGCAGGGAGCCTGCTTCCCCCACCTCTCTCTGCCTCTCTGCCTCTTGTGATTTCTCTGTCAAATAAATAAAATCTAAAAAAAAAAAAAACGATTAGACGAGAACTTGGTATTCTTAGGGATGGACTGTCCTTTTTGCTGTTAGGATGAAAAAACAGAATGGTATTTCTGGAAAAAATAGAATGCTATCTGAGGCTTCAAAATCCACTTTCTTTAAAAAGTATTTTTTTTGAGCACGCCAGTGACTCAGTCAAGTATCCCACTCTTGATTTGGGTTCTTGAGGTCATGATCTCAGGGTCACAAGATCGAGCCTCCTATTAGGCTCTGTTCTCAACAGGGAGTCTACTTGAGCTTTTCTCTCTCCCCCTCTCCCTTTGCCCCTCCCCCTGCTCCTCTGCACACTCTCTAAAATTTTTTTAAGCACATGTTGCAATGAGCACTGGCTGTTCTACACAAATAATGAATCATGGAACACTACATCAAAAACTAATGAAGTACTGTATGGTGACTAACATAAAAAATATTTTTAAGTTTAAAACTTTTTAACTCTTATAATCAAAATAAAAACTAACAGAACGCCACTGTAAAAGATTTAAAATCTAAGGCACATGAAGAATAAAACTTACTCCTCTACCACCCAAAAATAAACTATTAATATTTGAAGTTAGAGCTTTCTAAACTTAAAAAAAATTAATTTTTGTGAATTCAGTTTCATTCTGGTATTTAGTTACTTAAACAGTAATTGATAAAAATTTTGAAATGTGGTTTTGGGAACAGAGGGAAAAGTGACTGATGTATCTGGAGTGGGTTTCTCAGTAAACAGCTACAAAAAGGAAGTCTTCTCTCCTATGGCACAAAAAGTTTCCAAGGTTGGCAAAATGAAACTGTGATGGTTAGGCTGCCAAAGCTGTAAGTCTAAGAAGACTGTTTTCAAGCTGTTGTGTCCCCCTAAACACCCACTGCCAATCATGGGACATACTTTGGAAGGCCCACATGGACTATTTTTAAACATTACTTCCTTCTTTCATCTTCTAAACAGGTCCTAGTTGAAGAATAAAGTTATTCTTATTAGTTAAAAAAGGTAAAGTGGATTCTTTCTTGCCTACTTCTGGGTTCAAATTTGAGGTCACATCAGAGTGCCATGGGGTGTTTGTTGAAAATGCAGATTCTGTAGTGGCAGCTACAGAGGCTGGCGATGTTCTAGCCTTCTAGGTCTCTTCAGTAATTCATACCTTTGGACAGACAACATAAATGATTTCACAGGCAATGCATGTTCCATGCTTTAGGAAGCTTTTCTTCAAATAAATGATTGTATGATCCATGGGTTTCATGGTGCAAGTTATCATGCACTAACAAAATACAGTATTTTCCACAAAACTAGAATAACCCTAAGATTTGTATGGATCCACAGAAGACACCAAATAGCAAAAGCAATCTTGGAAAAAGAACAAAATTGGAGGTATAATAATCCCAGAATTGAAGATACCTTACAAAGCTGTAGTGATCAAAACAGTATGGTACTGGCACAAAAACAGACACCTAGATCAAGAGAACAGAATAGAAAGCCCAGAAATAAGTCCTTGATTAGATGGTCAATTAATCCACAACAAAGGAGGAAAGCATGTACATATACAATTGGGGAAAGTCTCAACAAATGGTGTTGGGAAAACTGGACAGCTACATGCAAAAGAATGAAACTGGACCACTTTCTTACACCATACACAAAAACTCAAAATGGATTAAGGACCTACATGTGAGACCTGAAAACACAGAAATCCTAGAAGAGCACACAGGCAATAATTTCTCTGACAGCCATAACAACACTTTTCTAGATTCCACTCCTGAGGTGAGGGAAACAAAAGCAAAAATAAACTATCAGAACTACATCAAAATAAAAAACTTCAGAGCAAAGGAAACAACCAACAAAACTAAAATACAACCTATTGAATAGGATATTTTCCAAGGACACATACAATAAGGGGTTA